ATAAATAAGCATGCATTGGTAAAGCTGTAAGGGCCCATGGGCGATCGAGATAGTTTTTCCACAAACAGTGTGTGAGACAGAATTCTTCTGCACATTTCCAAAACTAAAACATGAAAAATGTTATTTACACATGGTAGTAGTTGATATAATTATTTAAATACAGTCAGATTGCCATTACACCTGACTGTCAGGTGGCAAAGGTATTCAATGTTCAATGCATGGCTGGGAGAAAATAGGTGAGTGAATTGTACTTCATCTCCAAATGACTCTGGTCTAATTTCAGAGGAAGTTGATTCCTGTAGTTTGACCTAATTATGTAGAACACAGAATGCCACCAAAGCTGAATGTTGATGAATATTTAAGTATTCAGCTTATCTGGCAGGACAAATACAAAAAAAATACCAAAGTTGAAAATCTGCTAACTCTCACTTAATCCTTGGCTACTGTATGGTCACATAATGATATCTGAGAGCCTGAATGCTTCATCAGCAACAATTACAGGGAAGTGCAAGTCTAGCAATGCCAGGTAAGGGTTTCCTAGATGGAAATGAAATCCCCCCTCTTATATTTAAAGACCCTTTGCAGATTGGCAAAATATTCTGCAGTCCACTGTGCTATTGAAAGCACCAATGCCAATGGCTATGAAATGATGGTTGATATTGCCTAATGCAACAGTAAAAATGAGAAATATATTTTTTTTTATAACAATTTTTTGAGTTAGGGCACATTCACATGTTTACCATCAAATGTACCAATGCAGTTGGGAAAAAGTAATTATTCCCTGAATTCCATTACAACTTCTGACCATAGATCTTCTTAATATCAAGCAAGAAATAATGATGTAAAACTTTGACCCATGGCCAAAACCTACAAGAAAGAGGTTATCCTCATTACAACATATACAACTCTAGAGAGACACATAAACATAATTTATATACACTGCTCAAAAAAAGTAAAGGAACACTTTGAAAACACATCAGATCTCAATGAGGAAAATAACATGCTGAATATCTATACTGGGTAATGTGTTAGGAATGTAAGGATGCCCCAACGTTTGATGGAAATTAAAATTTATCAACCTACAGAGGACTGAGTTCAAACACACCCTGAAAATCAAAGTGAAAAAATAATGCAGCAGGCTAGTCCATTTTGCTGAAATTTCATTGTAGCAACTCAAAATGGTACTCAGTAGTTTATATGGACCCCACATGCTTGTATGCATGCCTGACAACGTGATGGCATGCTCCTAATAAGATGTTGGATGGTGTCCTGGGGTATTTCCTCCCAGATCTTGACCAGGGCACCACTGAGCTCCTGGACAGTCTGAGGTGCAACCTGGTGGCGTTGGATGGACCGAAACATGATATCCCAGAGGTGTTCCATTAGATTTAGATCAGGCAAGCGTGGAGGTCATTCAATGGTATCAATTCCTTCGTCCTCCAGGAACTGCCTGCATACCTTCACCAAATGAGGTCAGGCATTGGGGTGCACCAGGAGGAACCCAGGACCCACTGCACCAGTGTAGGGTCTGACAATGGGTCCAAGGATTTCATCCCGATACCTAATGGCGGTCAGGGTGCCATTATCTAGCCTGTGAAGGTCTGTGCATCCCTCCGTGGATATGCCTCCCCAGACCATCACTGACCCACCACCAAAACGGTCATGCTGAATGATGTTACAGGCAGCATAACGTTCTCCACGGCTTCTCCAGACCCTTTCACGTCTGTCACATGTGCTCAGGGTTAACCTGCTCTCATCTGTGAAAAGCACAGGACGCCAGTGGTGGATCTGCCAATTCCGGTGTTCAATGGAAAATGCAAATTGAGCTCTATGGTGCAGGGCAGTGAGCACAGGGCCCACTAGAGGACGTCGGACCCTACACCACCCTCATAACATCTGTTTCTGATTGTTTGGTCAGAGACATTCATACCAGTGGCCTACTGGAGGTCACTTTGTAGGGCTCTGGCAGTGCTAATCCTGTTCCTCCTTCTACAAAGGAGCAGATACTGGTCCTGCTGATGGGTTAAGGACCTGCTACGGCCCTGTCCAGCTCTCCTAGAGTAGCTGCCTGTCTCCTGGATTCTCTTCCATGCTCTTGAGACTGTGCTGGGAGACACAGCAAACCTTCTGGTAATGGCACGTAGTGATGTGCCATCCTGGAGGAGTTGGACTTCCTGTGCAACCTCTGCAGGGTCCAGGTATCGCCTCATGCTACCAGTAGTGACACTGACCCTAGCCAAATACAAAACTAGTGGAAAACAGTCAGAAAAGATGAGTAGGGAAAAAAATGTCAGCGGCCTTCACGTGTAAAACCATTCCTGTTTTGGGGGTCGTCTCATTGTTGCCCATCTAGTGCACCTGTTGTTAATTTAATTAACACCAAAGCAGCTGAAACAACCCCCTCTGCTACTTAACTGACCAGATCAATATCCTAGGAGTTTAATTAACTTGTTGATTCTGATTAAAAAGTGTTCCTTTAATTTTTTTTTTGAGCAGTGTACCTTCAGGTGATACACTCCATGTCTCCATGTGTGACAGTCTGGTTTCCATGATATCCATAAAGTGAAAAAAACGTATGTACTAGTGCACTGGTCCACAAGGATCTTGGCTGGCTGGGACATGTAGTACCACTTTTTTAGATAATGAGAATAATGAGAAATTGCTCGAGACTGGAGGATTATATTTCTCAATCTGAATTGATTAAACAGAGATTTATTATGAACGGTTATGACCCAATAGAATTAGAGAAAACGAGATTTAAAGTCAGTAAAAAATTATATGGGGGAAACAAAAGTTAAGGTTAATAAAATTAAGAAAGAGGAAGATAAAAATAAAGCCGAATTTGCTTTCATTTCAAAATTTAACTGTCAATATAAGGAAGTTGAAATTATTATTAGAAGATATTGGCCTATTATAAAAAAAGATTCAGTGCTAGGTACAGTGTTACCACCAAAACCACCGTTTATCTATAAAAAAAGTGATAATTTGCGTACGTTGTTAGTGAAGGGTGTCATCTCACCTCCTAAGAAAGCACGGATGTTTGATCTACAGGGGTTTTATCCATGTAAAAAATGTGAAATATGTAAAGCGACTGGAATAAAGGAAAGGAAGATATCAAGTTTTAGGTCTGTTAGTACTGGAGACGAGTTTACCATTAAAAAATGTATTACATGTAACACAAAGTATGTTACTTATGTGTTGGAATGTCCGTGCCGATTCCAATATGTGGGAAGAACAAAAAGAAATTTGAGCACCAGATTAAAAGAACATGTAGCCAATATAATAAAAAGTTAAAAAAGATCATAGCGTTTCACGCCATTTTAAAGAGTACCATAATTCAGATCCAAGGGGAATTAAGTTCTGTGGTATTGATATGGTGGATACCCATTGGAGGGGAAATAATAAAGTTAAAAGTATCTCGCAGAATGAGACATTTTGGATCTATAGACTTAATACTCTGAAACCTAAAGGTTTGAATATAGAATTGGATCTTAACTGCTTTATTTCGGATTTTTAATATATATTTTATATTTTTTAGGAGGTTATCTATATTGATTTTATGATAATATATTAATGGAGTTGTATGTAGTGAAGTAATTTCATATGGTATTTAAAATTTATATAGATATAATAGATTTTAATATTTATTTATGTATTTATTTTATATATGGAGATTTTAATAACAAAATATGAATTAATGGGAAAGAATATATGTCTGAATAGGTAGTAATATTTGGTTTAGCCAGTAGAGGGAGTTTTAGGTTGTTATTTATTAGGTTTGACCTGTGTATGTGTATTTCACATATACATATATTTCAGATTGATGGGATTTATTAGGTTGTGTATTGATATATAGGGATTTGAGAATTGGAGCATATATAGATTTTATTTAATTTAATTTTAGTCATTAAATTTGTGCATGATAAGGTATTTTGTAATTTATTAGATAAGGAGAGCTGTATATGTATTTAAATGTAATGAATGAGGAGATTACTTAATAGGATTGGGTAGGGATTTGAGTTTTTTATATTGTGTGTTGATTGTATTATGCTGATTTGTGAATGTTATTAAGATAGAGAGGAGTGTGGGCCATTTTCCATTCTCAAAGATGGTGATTGGGAGTTCCCTCCCTCCGTGTGAGGCAGGATATAAGGAACCGATGTGCAGACGTCTTTATCCCTTGAGAATAAGTCCAGGAAGTGAAGAAACGCGTCAGTACACGTGACGTCTGACGCACTGACATCCACCGGAAGTGCGATCGCGCGGCCCTTTTGGAAGTGGGAACATGCGGTTGTTCCCTTGCCTTACACCAAACATTTGAGTTGTGTCAGGGCTCCGGGGTGTGACCAGAGGTATGTGACTGACGCAGGGAAATGCAGGCTTCAGATATGTTATAAACAATAAGACAATTTATTAAAGACCAACAATACAAACATAAACGCAGTGCAATACTAAAACATTACACAGTGCAAACAAACCAAACCACCCACAGATAACAATATATACAATGCAAGCGTCGTCAGGCAGGCCGGGTCAATAACAATCGGGCAGGTAGGAACAGGGGGTCAGGCAGAGAATGGTCGGGGTCACAAGCCAGGGATGAAACAGAAGAAGTCAGCAGAGGTCCGGAATCAGGCAGGGTCAGCAACGAATCAGACAGAGACAGGAACAGGAACAGGAATGCAGGAACAAGATACAGGGCCCAGGAAAAACACACACACCAAGGCAAAGACTGCAGGTCTGGCCATCACTTAAATACATCTGCATAAGCAGTTTCAGGTGTTTGGCTGGCTGCAGGGTTGAGTCTCTGATTGCTGGGAGCACCCGCTGGCCAGCCCTGGTACTGCAGCCCACAAGGCAGGTGAGTCCCACCATTACTGGCCAGTTCATTCCTGACAGTACCCCCCCCTCAAGGAGCGGCCTCAGGACGCTCCAAACAGTCCTAGCTGGGCAAAATGTTCCACCGCCCGGGTCTGGTAACTGGCGGGATATCAAAGACTGGCACATCGGGCAGGACTCCGGGCAGCGGCACGTCGGGCAGGACTCCGGGCAGCGGCACGTCGGGCAGGACTCCGGGCAGCGGCACGTCGGGCAGGACTCCGGGCCGCGGCACATCGGGCAGGACTCCGGGCCGCGGCACATCGGGCAGGACTCCGGGCCGCGGCACATCGGGCAGGACTCCGGGCAGAGGCACATCGAGCTGGACACCGGATCACCAGGTGGAGCAGCAGGCACCGGGCCACCAGGCGGGGCGACAGGCATCGGGCCCCCAGGTGGGGCGACAGGCATCGGGCCCCCAGGCGGGGCGGCGGGCACGGGTACCAGGCGGGGCAACAGGCATCGGGCCCCCAGGCGGGGCAACAGGCATCGGGCCCCCCCAGGCAGAGCGGCGGGCGCCGGGCCCCCAGGAGGGGCGACAGGCATCGGGCCCCCCCCAGGCAGAGCGGCGGGCACCGGGCCCCCAGGAGGGGCGACAGGCATCGGGCCCCCAGGCGGGGCGACAGGCATCGGGGCCCCCAGGCGGGGCAACAGGCATCGGACCCCCAGGCGGGAGCGGCGGGCACGGGGCCCCCAGGAGGGGCGACAGGCACCGGGCCCCCAGGCGGGGCGACAGGCATCAGGCCCCCAGGCGGGGCGACAGGCATCAGGCCCCCAGGCGGAGCGGCAGGCACCGGGCCCCCAGGAGGGGCGGCAGACACCGGGCCCCCAGGCGGGGCGGCGGGCACCGGGTCATCAGGCACCACAACGGGCATCGGGTCACCAGGCATCAGGTCATTTGGCTTGCCAGTGGGCACCGCGTCATCTGGCAAGGCAGTGGGCACCGAGTCACCAGGCACGACAGTGGGCTCCGAGTCAACTGGCATGACCATGGGCACTGGGTCAGACATTGGATCGTCTGGCCTGACAGCGGGCATCGGGTCACCAGGCATGACAGCGGGCACTGGGTCATCAGGCATGGGATTGTCTGGCTCGACAGCGGGCATCGGGTCACCAGGTATGACAGCGGGCACTGGTCACCAGGCATCAGGTCATTTGGCTCGCCAGCGGGCACCGCGTCATCTGGCAAGGCAATGGGCACCGAGTCACCAGGCACGACAGTGGGCTCTGAGCCAATTGGCACGACAGCGGGCATCGGGTCACCAGGCATGACAGCGGGCACTGGGTCACCAGGCATCAGGTCATTTGGCTCGCCAGCGGGCACCGCATCATCTGGCAAGGCAGTGGGCACCGAGTCACCAGGCATGACAGTGGGCTCTGAGTCAATTGGCACGACAGCGGGCATCGGTTCACCAGGCTTGACAGCGGGCACTGAGTCACCAGGCACAACAGTAGGCTCCGAGTCAACTGGCATGACCGTGGGCAATGGGTCAGACATTGGATCGTCTGGCCTGACAGCGGGCATCGGGTCACCAGGCATGACAGCGGGCACTGGGTCATCAGGCATGGGATTGTCTGGCTCGACAGCGGGCATCGGTTCACCAGGTATGACAGCGGGCACTGGGTCACCAGGCATCAGGTCATTTGGCTCGCCAGCGGGCACCGCGTCATCTGGCAAGGCAGTGGGGCACCGAGTCACCAGGCACGACAGTGGGCTCCGAGTCAACTGGCATGACCGCGGGCACTGGGTCATCAGGCATTGAATCGTCTGGCAAGACTGCGGGCACCAAGTCTTCTGGCAAGACTGCGGGCACCGAGTCGTCTGGCAAGACCGCGGGCACCGAGTCAACTGGCGGAACAGCGGGCATCGAGTCAACTGGCGGAACAGCGGGCATCGAGTCAACTGGCGGAACAGTGGGCATCAAGTCGTCTGGCAAGACTGCGGGCACCGAGTCAACTGGCAAGACTGCGGGCACCGAGTCAACTGGCGGAACTGCGGGCACCGAGTCGACTGGCGGAACAGCGGGCACCGAGTCGACTGGTGGAACAGCGGGCACCGAGTCGTCTGGCAAGACGGCGGGCACCGAGTCGTCTGGCAAGACTGCGGGCACCGAGTCAACTGGCGGAACAGCGGGCACCGAGTCAACTGGCGGAACAGCGGGCATCGAGTCAACTGGCGGAACAGCGGGCATCGAGTCCTCTGGCAAGACTGCGGGCACCGAGTCAACTGGCGGAACAGCGGGCACCGAGTCGACTGGCGGAACAGCGGGCACCGAGTCGACTGGTGGAACAGCGGGCACCGAGTCGTCTGGCAAGACGGCGGGCACCGAGTCGTCTGGCAAGACTGCGGGCACCGAGTCAACTGGCGGAACAGCGGGCACCGAGTCAACTGGCAGAACAGCGGGCATCGAGTCAACTGGCGGAACAGCGGGCATCGAGTCCTCTGGCAAGACTGCGGGCACCGAGTCAACTGGCGGAACAGCGGGCACCGAGTCGTCTGGCATAATAGGATCATCAGGCTGGATCAGTTCATCAGGCTGGGTAGAAACATCATGCTGGGGGTTGAGACATCAGGCTGAATGGAGGCATCAGGCTGGGTGGAGGCATCAGGCTGGGTGGAGGCATCAGGCTGAATTGTGGGCGCCGAGGCACCAGGCTGCACCATGGAAGGCAGGTTCTCAGATGGGAGGCTGACCGGTTTGGATACTGGCAGGATGGTATTGGTTGGAAAGAACTTTCGCCTTTTCCTGGTTTTAGTTACCGGAGTACTGTAAGTAAGCGCAGGTTTGTAAATGGATGGAGCAGCTGGAGACAGAGAAGAGCTGGAGGATGGAACAGGGGAGGGAACAGTTGCTACAGAGGGCTTCTTTACAGGGTTAAAGGCAGGATAGGTGCAGCGAGTGGGAACAGGGTACTGACATGCGGTAGATAGCAGGGTATACTGGGCTGTAACTGGAGGTGCTGTTGGGAAAGCAGGAATAGGCGTTTGAAGAAATAGATTAGAAGCAGGACTGGGTTTTTGCAAGCTGACTAAGGCTGGGTGCAACAAGTCTGACCATGTCTGCAGTATGGGTTGAACAAAGCTCAGCTTACACAAAGCCTGTCTGGTCAATGACTGCACTGCGTTTATACAATCCCTTAATACCTGTGGTGAACATGCAGCATAATGTTCCAAGAAGCAATCCACATCATCCTCTAATAACCATACCAGGGACTCTACCTGGTCTGCACTAAATGGCGGCAAAAATTCATCCCTGCATTCGGGGGGTACCAGATGAAACCAACTCAGCACAAACCTGAATCAATGGCTGCACCTCAGAGAATTCTGTGCCCTGATCTACTAGAACATGAGCGATCCGTATACATTCTAGCAGTTCATCCCCCAGGGATACTCCTTCAGAGTTTGATAAGCATATTCTCTGTCATCAAACACTAGCAGAGATAAATACACAACCTCATCAAGATCCATCCTTCCCAGCAACAAGCCAAGATGGCTTCCCTGTGCAGCCACTTCTGGTCAGGATTGGCCTTGGTGTAATGTCAGGGCTCCGGGGTGTGACCAGAGGTATGTGACTGACACAGGGAAACGCAGGCTTCAGATATGTTATAAACAATAAGACAATTTATTAAAGACTAACAATACAAACATAAACGCAGTGCAATACTAAAACATAACACAGTGCAAACGAACCAAACCAAACCACCCACAGATAACAATATATACAATGCAAGCGTCGTCAGGCAGGCCGGGTCAATAACAATCGGGCAGGTAGGAACAGGGGGTCAGGCAGAGAATGGTCGGGGTCACAAGCCAGGGATGAAACAGGAGAAGTCAGCAGAGGTCCGGAATCAGGCAGGGTCAGCAACGAATCAGACAGAGACAGGAACAGGAACAGAAATGCAGGAACAACACACACACCAAGGCACCAAGGCAAAGACTGCAGGTCTGGCCATCACTTAAATACACCTGCATAAGCAGTTTCAGGTGTTTGGCTGGCTGCAGGGTTGAGTCTCTGATTGCTGGGAGCACCCGCTGGCCAGCCCTGGTACTGCAGCCCACAAGGCAGGTGAGTCCCACCATTACTGGCCAGTCCATTCCTGACAAGTTGTCTCTGTCACGGGGAGCTGTTATCTCCGGTTTTTAATGTAAGTTGCTGAATACATTTATACTATATTCTATTATATTTCTCTAATTCCTGATTTATTCATGAGGAGAATGGAGGAGAAATCCCAGGAGTGACTTGGACCCTGGAGAATGGTGCCATCCTATATATTTGTGATATGCCCTTTTGATACCTATATAGGGTAATTATCCACTGCTACAGGAGTTGGAGTGGTTTTTTTTTTTTTTTTGTTTTTTTTTCTTTCAGAGTGGGGTTTTAGTGTGATCACTGTGTGTTATACAGTGTGGATATATATGTCACTTGAGTGAGTCACTGTTGGAAGCAACTGGGAACAATACCAACTCAGCCACCAAGTGGCAGGCCACGTAGAATGACCGAGCGGGGTCAGCGCATGCTGAAGTGCACAGTGAGCAGAAGTCACCAACTGTCTGCAGAATCAATAGCTAAACACTTCCAAACTTAATGTGGGTCCAAGGATTTCATCCCGATGCCTAATGGCAGTCAGGGTGCCATTATCTAGCCTGTGAAGGTCTGTGCATCCCTCCGTGGATATGCCTCCCCAGACCATCACTGACCCACCACCAAAACGGTCATGCTGAATGATGTTACAGGCAGCATAACGTTCTCCACGGCTTCTCCAGACCCTTTCACGTCTGTCACATGTGCTCAGGGTTAACCTGCTCTCATCTGTGAAAAGCACAGGGCGCCAGTGGTGGACCTGCCAATTCCGGTGTTCAATGGAAAATGCCAATTGAGCTCTATGGTGCAGGGCAGTGAGCACAGGGCCCACTAGAGGACGTCGGACCCTACACCACCCTCATAACATCTGTTTCTGATTGTTTGGTCAGAGACGTTCATACCAGTGGCCTACTGGAGGTCACTTTGTGGGGCTCTGGCAGTGCTAATCCTGTTCCTCCTTCCACAAAGGAGCAGATACTGGTCCTGCTGATGGGTTAAGGACCTTCTACGGCCCTGTCCAGTTCTCCTAGAGTAACTGCCTGTCTCCTGGATTCTCTTCCATGCTCTTGAGACTGTGCTGGGAGACACAGCAAACCTTCTGGTAATGGCACGTAGTGATGTGCCATCCTGGAGGAATTGGACTTCCTGTGCAAACTCTGCAGGGTCCAGGTATCGCCTCATGCTACCAGTAGTGACACTGACCCTAGCCAAACACAAAACTAGTGGAAAACAGTCAGAAAAGATGAGTAGGGAAAAAAATGTCAGCGGCCTTCACGTGTAAAACCATTCCTGTTTTGGGGGTGTCTCATTGTTGCCCATCTAGTGCACCTGTTGTTAATTTAATTAACACCAAAGCAGCTGAGACAACCCCCTCTGCTACTTAACTGACCAGATCAATATCCTAGGAGTTTAATTAACTTGATGCTATACTCTGATTAAAAAGTGTTCCTTTAATTTTTTTGAGGAGTGTACCTTCAGGTGATACACTCCATGTCTCTATGTGTGACAGTCTGGTTTCCATGATATCCATAAAGTGAAAAAACATATGTACTAGTGCACTGGTCCACAAGGATCTTGGCTGGCTGGGACATGTAGTACCAATTTTTTAGATAATGAGAATAATGAGAAATTGCTCGAGACTGGAGGATTATATTTCCCAATCGGAATTGATTAAACAGAGATTTATTATGAAGGGTTATGACCCAATAGAATTAGAGAAAACGAGATTTAA